TCCCCCAGGCTCCAGCCCCTACCCCAACCCCAAGCCCATGCTCTTGTGGGCTGCTGGGAGCTTAAGCCCCACACTAACACAGGCTGCCAGGGAATTCTGCCCTGGCCCAGCCCCTGCCTGCCTGGGATTCTGGTTCTGGCCCCGCATTATCATGGGCTACTAGGGGCTCCATCTTCCGCTTCAGTTCTGGCCCCAATTCTGTGCTGCCGGGGGCTCCAACCCCACTCTGCGCTGTTAGCCTTCCTGCCCCTAGGATCCTTGGTCAAGTAACTTCTGTGGTCCTGCCTCACCATGGATGTTGCTAGACCAAAGAGTGCCAGTTTTGGGAGGTGCAACCTCCAGTTTAACTTAATGAAGAAATGTTCTTTCCTGGCATTCCTTAATCAATCATATGGTATTAACTGCATATGGTAGTTCTATGGTGAACATAGTAAAGTGAGCTTAACTTATCTTCAGCATCAAGTTCATCTAGTCTCTTAAAGTCATTTGTTTAATAGGGAGGTCTTAGCATAATCAAAATAATTTTAACTTTAAAATGAAATAAGACCAAAGTCATTAAGGCTAAAAACTGTTCAGCCCATAGAAGCAGTAGCTTTTTTCTCTGAGTCTGAAACATTTGGGAAAATGTATATCCTTTTGTTCTGATTAAAAAATTGCCTTTCTTCCCCACATGTGGTGCATAACCTTTTTATGGCCAGTAGATGATAAAAAGAAAACAACAACTGTGTATTCTGGCTTATACTGTTTGGAGTATACAAACTTGAAATTGTAATTTTAATTCTTCACTTTTACTAATAGAATTTAAGCATTTGGACACACTGTACAATTCTTCACAAACTTGGGCCCATCCAGTAAAGTAGTCTAAGGTTCCAACATACCTTCTCTAAAATACATTCACAGTTCAGTAAACAACAAGCAAACATTTACTGAGAGCTAAATAATTCCACTTTGTGTAGTCAGGTAAGTCCTCAGGAGGCAGCAGCATGTCTTGCTGAGGGCGTCTTTTCATCTTACTCTCTTCACTCGGACCAATAGCCCTCAGACCAGGATGTAGGGCTTCCACATATAACAACTCAGTGAAATTAGTGGCATATAAAATAACCTGCTTCCACATATAACAACTCAGTGAAATTAATGGCATATAAAATAATAATGCAAAGGGATGGAATTGCACACTTTGATTGAGCTGTGCTGCTATGTGTTAGAGTGTGTATCATATGGCTCTGGCTCTTTGGTTACAAGCAATACTGGTACTAATGGCCCTTGTTTTCAGCGGTTATCATTTTGACAAATTTAAACTGTTCAACCTGCCATTCTTTACTACTGGTATCTGTCTCAGGAACTGTAGGAAGGGAAAGACTAAGAGGCAGGAGCATAGAGGTTTAATAGGAGCAGGAGCCAAGTTGGTGGATAGAAGCAGCGAGCGGACACGGGAGCAAGAACCGGGTGATGGGGGCATAGATAGGAGCAGGGTGTGGAAGTAGCAATAGATAAGGAAGTAAGAATAGAATAGAACCAGGGAGGGACTGCAGGACTTGGGCAGAAAGATCTATAATTACTAACATATTGCCTATGCACAATAGTTCAGTCTCCTTATTCCTCTGCTATCTAGAAAATACCTGTGAAAGCCATTGGCAGTGTCTCTCTTTGTCCTCTAGCATGAGACCCACATAGAAAATAACAGGAAGCAGTAGAAGGTTGTTACTCTTATCCACTCAAGTGATAAAAGACTGAGCTGTGGATATGCCTGCTGATAGATCCATATGGGTGGTCAATGTAGTTCCACATTATTTTCAGAACACAGCTCCACTCGTTAGTTCCAGCTGTGAATAGTAAGCACATCTGCAAATCAGACCTCAGAGGTCTCCAGTTGGATAGCCAGAAAATGAGACCGAGAAAGTGGCAATATAAAAATTCTGGTTTCTGTGAGGTGGCTTGCCCAATTTTCTGCATGTGGTCATTTTGTCTCTTTCATTCTCTGCTCTGATTTCCACAAGTGCAGAACGCTCACTGCAGCAGTTAAAGTTGATAAGAGCTGTGCTTTGAACATTTAACATTTTGTGATATAGAAATGCTTCTCAAATTGGTTATACAGTAGAGTCCCTATCATCCAACCTAAACGGGACTGACACATGGTCGGATTACCGAATATGTCGGATGATACGGACTCTACTGTAGAGAGCAACGGAACAGCTGATGCCGCTCCTGCCGGGACGAAGCGTCCCCAGCAGAGCAGCATCAGCTGTTCTGTTGCTCTCTAGGAGCAGCTGCTACCGTTCCTGCCGGGACGCTTCCAGGCAGGAGCAGCAGCAGCTTCTCCTAGAGAGCAAGGGAACAGCTGATGCTGCTCTTTCCAGGGACATCCCCCGCAGGAGCTGCTCCTAGAGAGCGATGGGGCAGCAAGTGGGGCCATTCTGCTGGCCCGTGCTGTGTCCGACCCTGCAGCTCCCGGGGACTTTGTCCCCGGGAACTGCAGGGTCAGATAAAGCGGAGTGTCGGATTACCGGGTGTCGGTTAATTCGGACTCCACTGTACACAATTAGTTCACTCTTTTGACCTTACCTATTTCCTGTGGGTAAAGTGAGGATAATGTAACTACCTCATCTGAGGGAGTAATGTCTGTAAAGCCCTATGTACTATGATGAAACCATCATAGAAAAACCTGGATAGAAATTAATAAAGCTGCATCTTTTTGAGTGGTGTCCCTGTGGGTGCTCCATTTTAGGTGCTGGGTTGCACTGGTGCCATAGATCAGAGATTTTTTCCAGCAGTGGGCAGATAGGACACGCATATGCCATAGCTGTCTCATGGTGTTCATGCCTTCACATATCTCTTGCATGGCCCAACCTTCCTCATTACGTGCGCTCCCATCTTCGGCTACAGATGGAGCAGTACAGCACTGTCCTCACGCAGCGCTAGCTGCACTGAACAGAATGGAATGCAGCTCCAACCAGATGAGCACTGCTATAGTTCCTCACCCAGCAAGTTATAATGATCTCATTGAGACTTCAGTCCCCACTCCTCAGCACCAACCAGTCACCAGCCAAACCTCGGACTGCTCTCCATCGTTTCCTGCTCCAGCCTCCACCCCTAACAAGGCACATAATCTGAAGAAGCCTCCCGAACTCTTCAGTTTAGGGTAGCTAACTACTCAGCACTATTGCAAACTACACCTACTCAAATGACATTAAGCTGGAAGAACTTCTGGATGATCTCCCAGAACGGAAACACCCCTGTTTCCTAAAGCCTGTTATATAGGAGGGACAGACAGTAGCATGCACAGCACTTCTGTCGACACTGGACATCGCTGATTCAGCTGCTCAAGTGATGCACGGGTGATGACATCTTGGTGCTGATTTTCAGGGATCTGGCTCCAGTCCTCCAATATGATCTGCAAATCAAGGTGAAGGGACCTGTCTTTTGATAGAAATAAGCTGTTTTCTGCAAAAACTGGAATGGTCCTTCATGCAGTGAACGACTCTCATGCCAACCTTTGTATGCTCGGAATATGTAACTTGCCAACCAAGTCTAAATGCTGCACACTTTACCAAAAACCCAAGGAACAAACTTTCCATTGCCAACAACAGAGGCATTTTGAACCTAGGAGATCCAAACATAGATCACAAAGGAGGAGACCACCTCATGGCCAGTTGTCATCTAACCAACAGTTTTCAAGGTTTGGTCAATGGCCTGCATGACCTCACAGTATCAACAAAGGAGGAGACCACCTCATGGCCAGCACTTATGGTCAATGGCCTGCATGACCTCACAGTATCAACAAAGGAGGAAACCACCTCATGGCCAGCACTTACGCCTATGTTACCATTCTTGGGCAACCATAACAACAGATCGGTGGGTACTGAAAATTGCATGGGCAGAATATGCCATACCCTTCCACTC